TGCATTTAATTATAAGTAATGATTATGTAAAAATTTATTTTGTGAGATTCTGTAATAACAAGAACCTTCCCTGAAGAATTATGATTATGTGAACTCTCAAACAAAAAAACTTTTGGATTGAAATGCTGAAATATGCAATAGGACTCTAAAAATTAACAATTATTTAAAAAAAATTGATATTTATAGTTATACTTTTATAGAATCAAAATTTTATGATTTATGTTTTTCTTTTTTATTTGCTAGTGCTTTAACTCTTTCTCTTAAAAAGGCTTCTCTGTCGCTACGCCTTTTTCTTTTTGAAGGGGGAAATGTAAGATAAAATTATATGAATCAGAATTATAATATAACTATAAAATTAATTCTTTCCTCTCTATTCTAAAATCGTAATAACTTCTCTGCATTGCGTCATTCAAATTAATCATGCGATCTTACGTAACCGTTAATACCAGATGCCTCTTGACGACCAAACACCGAATTGCAAACCAAAACTTTTCTCTTCGCGTGCTTCCATCTTTCATAACGACGCACTTCAGCTTTGCTCTTTACTCTGCTAAGATGTAATTTCGCTGGCTTGCTTTCCATCTCAACAATATCAAAAATGTAAATCTTCTGTGGAAAGGCACGACTAGAGTGCCAAGTGATTGTGGCCACAAATATCAATTGGAAATAAAAATGGAATTAAAACTGCTTCGACTGCCAAGTTCTTTAGATATTACCAAGTTAGCATTCTAGCATACTACGCAATCAAAATCTTCTTCAATATGGCTCTAATCACGCATCGACACTGCTCCGGCTTTTTCTTGTGATTTTATTATTACATATATATATATATATGTTTATTTATGTACTTTTGGTGCGGCCGATTGCAAACAAAATACGAGGTGCACATCTCTATGTTATAGCAGTCCTACATACAAAATTTCAACTTTCTGAGGCTACTTCTTTTTGAGTTATGCGAGATACGTACGCACAGACGCCACGAAAAATTCTCTTCAGAATTCAGTTTAAATCTGTTTTATAATTTTTTTGGGGGAAAAGAGTCCTTTATTCTGCCCTTACTTGCGGATGTCACGCAAAAACATCATTAAATTGCGTTGGATAACGGTCAAAATCGATATTTTCGTTGAAATATGAGACCCGAAATTTTTCGCGAATACAATACTTCCTTTTTACTTCGTACAAGGAAGTAAAAATCTGATGTGGACACCACATGACTTAAAAGACTAATAAAACTCATCCAGTAGTTTAACATTGTGTGAATATATATATATATATATAAGGTGATTATTAGTAATTAAAAAAGCCAAATACTTGCGCTAAAGCGGTAAGCAATAAAATTTAGGAAATTTAATAAAAAGCTAATTAGAATTATATTGTGGTAAAATATGGCATTTTAAATTAGTAAATTTATAAAATAGGTAAAACGATAGCGCAGATAAAACAAAGCGATTATTGTTATTAAACGGAAATTAATTGACTTATCGAGGGAGGAAAACCAAAATTCCGATCATTTATCGATAATTAATATAAAGAAAGTGTTCCGGCGTTTTTCCGAAGTAAGAATGAAAGCTTAATCAAAGTACCAGTTAAGAACAATTAGAATAGTACGGAAAATTAACATTTAATAAGTTATTCTGTTTCATTTAAAGTATAAACTAAGAACCAATCTGAACTTATGAGCAAAGTAAAATGATCCCTACTTAAGAAAAACCATTCCCCGACACCTTCGCCGCTGATCATAGCAACAACGCAAAAACGGTGCATTAATTTTTTACTGTTTGAGTTCTTTATTTTAATTTGTTTTTACCTTTTAATAATAAGCATAGACACCTGGACGATGGGAAAAAAAAGTGAAATTTCGTGATTAAATTTCTTTTTTATTATTTTAAAATTTTAAATCATGAGCATTTGCATCACTAAAAAGACTTTCGTAAGCGGAAATGCATGTCTAAGATTAATGGTCAAGCCCGGGTAATGACTTTTGGAAATAGAATGACGCATAGAAACTATTTTCATGTGTTCCGTTCTAAGTTTCTGTATTCTATTTCCCATTTTATGCGGAAAATAAAAAGAAAATCGTTATCACATTAAAATTTTACTCACAAAAACAGATTTACTTTATATCATTTACTATTATTTTTACTCTGAAGAGTTGTTTGGAGTCGTTAAGCCCGCGAGACACAGTTCGAAGACCGCTTATATAGATTTAGAAATCACTATACTCTGTACAAATGTGTGGTGTAAAACGCAATTTGACTTTTTTTTTTTTTTTTTTTTTTTCTCTCCTTAATTCGGAGATATTACAAAATAGAAATTTCTGGAAAATATAATTTTCCTGAATTTTGTGTATAAAAATACACTGCTGCAACTTACATTTTTGTCACAATATGGTATTTTTTCTGAAGTAGCAAGATGGCCAGTATGTAAGACCACTGAACGCTAGTCGTTCGATCTGGTATGGATCTGAGCGGCTGGTTCATGGGCATTTTCATAGTTTTCACCTTGTGAACTTAAATATGAGCCAGTTTTCCCTAGAAATTCCCTTACGAATGCATTCTTCATCATTGACAATCAAAACGTGTATGTTTTGCCGCTAAGTAACACAAGGAGCTCAATCTGTAAGGCCGATTTTCCCCCCTCCCCTCCCGATGGAAATACACTACTAGAAGACATTAGAAATTTCTTTAGCATAGTCTTTCCAAAATTTTGGAATATTGCATTTCACTCTATTTGTCATCAATGCTGCATTATGGTCATCGGTGTCCGTGAAATGAAGGGCCAATCAGCGGTCGAGCGGTAAGACCATCCAATACTAATAGTTCAACCTCGCATCAAAATCCTAGCGAACCAATGCTGCCTGTATAGGCGTTTTTGTACAATGCCAGTTTCCAAGGTATTATAGCTTTAGAAGTAATTAATTATTAAGCGTGAAAATTTCTAAGATGTAAATAGTTAAATGAGCCCTGTGCCGCAGTGGCCAGCGCGTCGCACAGCAGCACATGTCCGGGGTTCGATCCCCGGGCTGACCCAGCCTTTCCTACCTTGACTGGGTCGATAAAATGAGTATCAAGTTCTCCTGGGGACTAAACACTGGAAGTCTTACGACCACTTGTCGAGGGTACATTCACATGCACCCCGGAGCCCACGGTCTAGAAAGCAGACATTAAGGGCTCTGCAAGCTGTGGCCCACTGAGGGCTGTCACGCCATTGAGTTAAATGATTGCCGCGGCAGGAAGAATAAAATACCTGACTCAAAAATAAAATAAGCTTCCAGAAATCCAAAAGGATTGGAAAATTAATGTTATTTCGCAAGATAAAGATTAATTAAAGAAGGCGCTATTTCGTATTAAAATTTCTTGTTGGATAAACGCTTTGATGGCGTTAAGTGAAGTAATTTACTTGTCACATTGAAGACTCTATCAAACGTCACTCCGAAGCACTCCGGACGCAACATTACCGGGCAACGCGAAAAGGAATTATACGGTAATTAAAAGCATTTCGTCCAGCTATTCATATCGCAGTGCCATTCTACTTGTGTCTCATAGTAGCTACTTCGTCGTCGTTTTCATTTTCGACGGACCTTTACGCTGACAGACGAGGCGTCACGACTGTATTATCTCAACCCCGATCTCTCTTCGTACCTGGAAGCACGCGACGCAGGATCGCCCTCCCTCCCATCCACGCCCATCACAGGTGGCTGGCTCGTTTGGTGGACCCCAGAAGGTCGCTGACCTTCCGGTATCTGATGGACGATATGGCTGAGCGATGGAAATCGTTTTCACTCTGCCCACACATGTTTCGCCGAGAGGAATTTGTGTTCTTTTTTCAACCAGGAAGAATATTGTTCGAGCTGTTCAAACCTTTGTTAGTGTGTCCATCGGGGTTCTTTATCTTTTGCATCTCGGGGGAGAAGAATGAAGCCAGCTGAGTGCTACCTTAATCTCTTATTGGAGATGGCAGCTTGTGAGGTTTTATGTGTGCCTTGTGTGGTTGAGCTGGCGTAGAGGCTTGCTTAGCGAGAAAGCAACATCCGTAACAGCATGCGCAAGCAACTGACTATTCCTCTGCGCTAGTACAATGAGAGTGTTTAAAAAATTTGGATTACCTGGTCGTTGAATCTGTGTGCAGTACGATACGTTAACCATGACCTGTTGCCCATATACAGTAATTTGGCGTGAAATGGTTAAAATAATAGCTATGAGTAGTGAGTTGACAGCAGGCGAGGGTGCCATTGTCTGGCAGCCGGGTCGACAGGGCTTGCCGTTCGACAACAACTTTTTATAACATTTTTTTACGGCGCAATATTTCTTCACCATTACCACTCGAGCAGATTTGTAAAATCGAATGTGTTTTGTCGACGATACAATGCTTGTGATAATTATCCTGACGATTGCCTGTCTGAAATGCTGGTTAAAAGAATAACTTGTTTCAACAGTAGCTTGAAATGATACAATATTCGTGATGAATCGCCTCGGTGATTGCTTGTCTGAAATATTAGGTATAGGAGTAACTTGTTTCAATACTTGCCTAGAAGCCAATGACTTAATGTATTTTGCGTTGCAAGAAATATGAAGGGGCAAACTTCCAATGATGTTGGAATTTGTTGATGGATGGAGCATTTTTCAGAATGGATGACATAAACCTGTGTCTTTGTTTGCTATCGTATCGTGATATTATATGATGCTTGTTCTGAGAAAGCTGCATATTTCGAAGCTGTTTGAGATGGGTGGTGAATGTGAGCATCATTTGTTGATGGATGTTTACGTAGGTCGTTCAGACCATTTCCTAATCCACCACAAATGTCTATATGCCACAAGAACACCTGCCGACAGAATGTCTGCATCTCTACGTTCCCATAGATACGAGCCCTAACCATTTTTTGGAACGGTGTCTTGACAAAATGTATTTAAGTTTACCATCTGGATGCATTTAATGACAAAATAACGATATGCGCTTTTTAGTTTTAAGTATTCGTCATAATATTGTTTTATACTTTTTAGTGCCAACCTTCGCCCAAAACAAAAAAGCAGTATAATCTGACTCAGCCTCATTTGAAATATATAAGGCCTGTTACTATAGAGACCGCCTCAGGTGAGAGAAGCTGGCGAGAATAGTTCTTGTGATAGATTGTATCTTTTGATGAAATGCCTCTGGATTAAACGTAGCCCGTGGGACTGAAGAATCTTTCAGGATGGGCCCATTTCTCTGGGGATTCTCCTTCAAAACCGATACCGGAACTAGACAAAATCATACTGTCACCTACAGGGTGCCCAGGGTCCATGCCAGACACAATTTTGCACTGCTCGCCGCGATAAAATTCCAAGGAGGTTAGAATAGGAGGGGGGGTCGCAGTTTTCTCGCCTATCCGAAAACAAAATCTGCCTTGTTTATGAGATCAAACCATTGCTATGCGGCAATGAAATGTATGTGTTTCTAGTGTGTTCCATGCGTGTAATTTAAGCAAAAGTACATTAAATTTGCAATGAAATTCAGCTCGACTGTTAAATTTTGGTTTCAAAGTAATAAATATGATATCTGTAATATACCACGTAGAAGAAATAATGTGAAATCTAAATGCATATGTATAGTTAATGCTGTTACTTTCCAATCTTTCGTTTAAAAAGAGATAGTTCAGATTTATTGACAGTGTTACCGTAATTTAATAAAGAATTATTTCATATAAAAGCGCTTCGAGAACATTAAAGTTATTTTATTTCAGTGTGCTTTATAGTTCAATTTTAAGCTGCAATAGACAAAATCCGAAATTCACATATTTTTTAATATTCATATAAGTAACATATAATCGGTAAGTTATAAATATTAAATTAGATTAAGTAGTGTGTGTATTTAATTATGGCAAAGCACACTAGGGCTTTCTGCCTAAGGGGAGGGATGCCTTCGTGGAGGACTTTCTAAGGGAAACTGGTTCGTATACACGTTACAGATGGGGAAAATAAAGAAAACACCCATGCAGCCAGCCCGTTCGCGGGGTTCGAACCTCGGACCGAACTACCAGTGTTCAGCGACTTTACCGCTCGGCCGCTGGTGGGCCTAGATTAAGTAGATTTATGTAGATACTATAAGGATTTTTTTCATAGTAGTTTCATATTTATGAATTTCGATTAAAGAAATTATATTTAAATTACAGAAAATAAGTATATGACTTATTGGGTATAACTTTTCAAATATTCAATTATGGCAAATATTTTACTTACTTTTATCGTTGTATTGAATAGAAATTTATAAGTTGTAAGCACAGACACATTTTACACAAACAAGTTATAACAACAGACAGTTTATTTTGAATAAATGCGCAAATTACGTTCATAACAGTTCACAATATATAAAAATGAATAAAAAATAATACATAAAAAGAAAAATGGCTACATTTAACACTTTTGCAATTAATAAAAATAGTAAAAATTGGTTTCTTACTTGTCGGGAAAATTATCGACAAATTCTTTAAAGCATTCAAAGAGCAAAGTTTGAGTCCAAGCATATTAAAGATATTAATTGTGAACAGAAAGTTTGGTGTAATTTGATTAGTATTAAGTTCTTTTTTTTCACATCTGAAATAAAAAGTGCATGCATTATTTTAAAGTTTTCAATATTCTTCTCGATGAATCTCTTCAAGCCAGTGGATGTACCGTTCATAAGTGCATGAAACTGTCTTTTCTCAGTTAAAGGACTGGATAGATCTGGTCGCGTCATGTCGGTGTTTACAGCTCTCTACTACATAGGAGCGTTAAAAAAAAGCCGAAAATCATCGGGTGCGTTGAAATTTTGTATATGGGTCTGTTATAACATCTAGTTGTGCACCTCCCTTTTTTTATTGCAATCGGCAGTACCATGTATATTTCAAAATTTTCCTCTAAATTGTTATACTTAAATAATTTAAATGGTTCATCAGCAAATTTTAGGTGAACAGAAACGCAGTGGCTTTCAAAAAAGGGGAAGTTCAACTGAGTCTGATTTACCTCCTCTCGAATCAGATTTGATTGCATTCCTCTTCCTATGTATTTTTTGTGTTTTTTAAATGTCTCATTTCTTTAATTCTTCTGAGTTTTGGTTAATTTTATACATATATATTGGGAATTTTGAAATATAACTGGTTTTAAAATTTCACTTCTTTTGGGTCTTTGTGGATTTCGTTCCAAATTTCTTACTTTTTATCTATGCTAATTAATTTTCAGCAGCATATTGCGCGGATATAACTTGGTATAATTTGTTTTAAAATTAAAAAAAGTGTGATAATATATATATATATGTGTGCGTGTGTGTAAGATATGTAAATAAAAATTATAATTTAAATTAGCAATAGCTCCTATCTATTCTAAAAACAGCAGTGCTTTTTCCTGGACTACGTCACTTCTAGATGAACAGAAGCCACATCACATGACTTGCGTACTGCTAAAGACGTAGCTAATTCGGAACTTAATAAACCGAAACTTTCTCTTAATAAGCTGCCATACCGGAATAACTGCGCACTTTTGCTTCTACCTCTGTTGTTCTCGCAAAGACTATACCTCGCTGCTCTCATCCTATCGCAATAGTATCAAAAATGTAAATGTTTTTTAATAGGCAAGATTAGAGTGCCAAGTGGATTGTGGCCGCAAATGTCAATTGAAATAAAGATTCTGCCTCGGCTGTCACGTTTGCTGTCCATAACGTATTCATCATTCCACGTTCTATATTATTAGTGTTTCTGCATCATTGCATCTAATTCTATTGCTTCATTACATACACACACACATACATATTAAGAGTATATATATATATATATTGTGTGTGTAAATAATTACCTGGACCTTCAATGAATGTTTCGACGTTTTGCTAAATGTGTTGAGATGAACAAAAGAAAAGACGTGGTCTATCTAATGTTGAAAGCTAAGAAACCTATCGCTGGAGAATGGTACGATATCCGACGAAAACCATGATCCGAAAAAAGTTTCTTTTGGAGGTCAAGATAACATTTCCTGTGAGGTAAAATAAATTTAGCAAAGCCTCGTCAAAATTATCCAATGGAAAATGACTCCGTTATCGACAGATTAAGCTCTCGCATGAAGATGTCATTAGGAACCCAAGAGCGTAAAAGGCTTAATCACTGGTTGAGGTTTAAGGGATTCTTCGGTAATCTTTAAATGTACGATAAATGGTAAGATGACACTTTCGTTGATGGATGTTCTTTATGCTTTGCGATTCAGGAAGCGTAATCCTCTATTAATGCAGGGAAAGTCTTGAGTGGCTTACAGATTATTGCGATTCAAAGCTACTGTTTTGAGCTGCTATTTTAAAGTAGGAAATAATCTTAAAAATGTCTCTAATGTTAGGACTTTATAGCAACATCCTTTACTATAACATACGTTCTCAAGTTTGTTTAGTTCCTAATGGAAAATTCTGTTTTGGGCCGTTACATCAAGCCATCGAGGCAGTGCGCTAAATTTCATTAGCATAAGCAAGCCTTACCCTTGGCAGCAGAATTGATCTTTAATTCAAGAATATTAGTGCATATGATTATGGTGTTATTACGCGAGTAAACTTCGTACTTCCTCGCGTATTTTTAATCCTATATTTTTAGCAGCAGGTTCCGGAAGTGTTAAAAATATTCCCTTCCTCCATGTCCCCTTCCTCCTTTGCGTTCCCTTCCTCCACGAGCTGCCGTGAATTTTAAAATGGATTCGCCCACGTAGTAATTCTTTTCGTCTTACTATCAAAGATAAACCCTCCCAGACTATCCGCGAAGTTCACGCCGAACCTTTCACTTCTAACTGTTGAAGGTTATGTCCGTCTGAAACAGGAACCGACTCATCGCAGCGAAGCAAATACGTACTAACATTCAGTCTACGATTTCGCCGAGTCGGCTGCTCATTCGTTTTCTCTCATTATTTACGGATGATTTAGGGCCTATGGAGTAGCAGAGACAATAGTACATCGCCAAGATGACATTTGTCCTAGGTCGAGCCATGCGGAATTGAATTTCGTCCCCGCGAAAATTTTATTCCCCCCTCCCCCCCAAAAAACTGTTCCAATGATCAGCCTAAACGATGCATTCCACTATGCGCATGCAGGACGAATTGTGTGAGGAAATCGTTGGAACTAAACCTAAAATAATAAAATAGATACATAAAGTACTAAAGCCCCGAAAAAATACGAGAGGTATAATTCAGCGAGTTTTTAGAGCATGCTCGGGTGCACTGCATAATTACATCCCAACAGGATAAACCACAATAAAATACATTATATCGCCACTTACTTTACATTCTGTTATTTATAGAAAAAGTTGTAAAAAGACTGCGTCGTGAAAGAAATGATGGGATATTTCCCGATCGGGATAAATTGAGAATAAAATGATTGAAGTTTCGCCTCTGAGGCTCAAATGGGGGGGGTGCTGTTAAGGTTGTTTAAAAATATTAAGCCCACTGTAACTACTGAATGCAAGTTTTCTAAAAAATGCTCCAAAACTCATAGCTTTTTTTTTTTTTTTTTTTTTGTTGTTGTTGTTGTTTTTTTGTTTTGTATAAGTGTGTGTGAGACATCTGTATACATACAGAATAAAGGACATCTGCACAGAAAAGGACTGCTCCAAAGCGAATTGTAAAAATGGAATTTTTTCGTAACCGTACGTACATATGTATGTCGCACAATTTTAAAAAAATTCATCGTAGAACGTTCAAATTTTGTATTTGGGAATGACATAACATCTAGTTGTGCACCTCCCTTTTTTTCTTGCAATCAGCAATAGCTGATTGCAAGAAAAAGTATATATATATTCGCAATCTTTGGTCGTAATCATGTCCGTCTAGTTACTGATGTGGTTCAAATTTCGAAAATATCCATATTTTGGCAATGTCAAATAATAATAATAATAAAAGACGAATAACAAAATCTAACTTCTAATACGGTCTCCTGCTCCTATACGTATATTAGGGATAGTTTTATACTCGCGATGAAGAAATAAAATATGGGAAGTATGATTCTCGTACGACAAAAACTGATCGAGATAGTTAATTTCAAAATTTGAAATTTTTGTTGTCGTTTTCAATTTGCCTGGAGGGATGGGATAATTAGATTCGAGTTATTGGAGGAAATAA